AATAGGTTGAGTGAGTGACATTGATAATGAGTGAAGTTTGGGTTCAACCCATATTTAAACTGTGCAAAATTGGTCAGTCACAGGTCTGATTTGGGTTGTCTGCAGCTAAATCACTCACAGCTGCATAGGTAACTAGTTAAGATTTAATTAGTGTGCGTCACTCTTGAGATTTTTGAGGCCTTTGCGTCAGTTGTTTTTCCCGAGTTTGCTCTAGTACTTTTTAAGAAGTCTTTTCTTTAACTTTAAAAATAGTTTGCACTGGCATGTTTTATAGGAAATATATGCCATTATTAGCTCTTTGAGGATACATACATGTCCATGTGTCATACTCCACCTTCTGAAGCAATTATCCGTAGCTTTTTGCTATCTGCATCCTAAAACATAGACCCTACTTCCCTTCGGGGTGGCCCAGTGGTTTGGGCTTGGGACTTCCATGTTGGAGGTCTCAAGTTCGAAACCCCTTGCCAGCGAAAGCAAGGGGTTTGCCTTCTGGGTCGAGCTCGTCGCACCGGGCTTGCCTAGTGCGGGTTACCTCTCCTATGTGGTTTGCGAGCTATTGCATAGGAGAGGAGGTTTTACCCTGTGCGCACCCAAAGGGTAGCGGCTGTGGGTTTCCCTTGTCATAAAAAAAAAAAAAAAAAAAAAAACATAGACCCTACTTTTTTTTTGGTACTTGGTAACTTTGCATTATATCACAAAATAGTACATGGGTTGTACTATAACCTTATATACAAGTGTGCTCCTGATTTCACTTCTCTACGTCTAAATTGAGTCTAGCAAATCAATAATAGAGACAGTGTCATTAGAGTATAACTGATTACACCAAAAGACTAAAAGTAAAATGCAATTTAGTTTAACTTCTGCACATTGTTCTCTATGCTCTCAAAACGTCTTGAATTCCTTTCTTTCCAAACAGCCCACCAGATGGCCCTTGGGATAACTCTCCATCTACCTTTGTCCTTAGCATGTACACCTGCTTCCTCCCAGCATAGTAATGCCTCAGCCACCTTCCTGGGCATTGTCCAGGAGATGCCTTTTAGGCTTAGGAATATTCTCCATAGATGATGGGTGTACTTGCAATGTAAAAATAGATGGTTAACAGTCTCAGATGTTTCACCACATAGGAAACACCTGGAACACAAGGTTATCCCCCTCTTCATAACATTGTCTTGTTGTAAGGACTGCTTCCTTAGCCATTGACCAGACAAAAAATGAGACTTTGTCAGGGATTTTGCTCTTTCATATTTGCTTCCAAGGCCAACTTGAGCACTATTGATCTGTCTGATCCATCAACTTGTAGGATTTGTTGATTTGAACACTCCCTTGTCATCTCCTGTCCACCACAATTTATCCTCTCCTGTTTGTAGTCCAGTGAAAGTGTCCACAGTGTTTAAAAATTCAGCAACTCTCACTTTCCCAATCATTAAGGTTCCTTCTGAAAGTGAAATTCCATCCTTATGGTGACAATAGATCTGCTATAGTGCTTTGTTGAAACATGATTAGGTTGTAGATGTCTAGAAAGAGATCTGCCATGTTGCCTTTCTCATGCCAAATGTCCTTCCAAAATCTGGTCTTACTCCCATCCATTACTTTTGCCTTTGAGTTACTTTTAACTTCATTCCACAAGCTTTTGATGGACCTCCAGAGGCTAGCCCCATAAGGAGTGGTTACTTCTTTAGTTATCCAGTTGTCCTCTTCTTCATATTTAGCTCCAATTACTTTCCTCCATAGCATCTGGTTGTTGTTTGCATACTTCCACAACCACTTCATACTAAGGGCCTTGCTTTGCAATTTCAGATTCTTTATTCCTAGACCTCCATTTTCCTTGCTTGTCATGACTTCCTCCCATTTAACCAAATGGAAGCTTTTTTTTTCTTTGTTGCCTTGCCACAAAAAATTCCTCCTGATACAATCCAACCTTTTAATGACCCCTGGTGGGATAGGAAACAAGGACATCATATAGGTTGGCAAAGCATCAAGTACTGAATTAATAAGGGTCAGTCTACCCCTCTTTGATAAGTACTGAGACTTCCACTTGGCCAATTTCTTCTCACACTTCTTAATCACACTATTCCATATGTCTATGGACTTGGATTTCCCCCCAAAGGCATTCCCAAGTATATAGTAGGCAGAACTTCTATTTCACCACCCATAATTGATGCTAAACAACTCATGTTGTTTACTTCATTTAGGGGATACAACACACTCTTCCTCCAGTTGATATGCAAACCAGAAATACCTTCAAATAAGACTAGAAGCACTCTTAGATACTTCAGTTGTTCCTCCTTCCTCCTCAGCATCACAGAAAATCAGGGTATCATCTGCATATTGCAAGTGTGTCACTTCTAGTCTCTCAGCACCTTCTCTGGCCACATCAAAACCCCTTAACCACCCTCTTAAGTTGGCAACTTTTATCATGTTGTTTAAACCCTCCATAGTAATCAGGAACAAAAAAGATGACGAGGGATCACCTTGTCTGAGACCTCTTTGGGTTTGAAAGAAACCTGCAGAGTTACCATTAATGAGTATTGAGAATCGAACCGTTGATATGCAAAGCTTTAATCCAGTTCAATCATTTCTTCACAAAACCCATCAGATTCAACATCTTCACTAAGTATTTCCAGTTAACATGGTCATAAGCTTTCTCTATATCCAACTTACATAGGACACCTGACTTCTTTTGGTTATTTCTGGAGTCAACTGCTTCATTTGCAATCAAAACTGCATCCATTATCTGTCTCCCTTTAACAAAAGCCATTTGTTGTGAGTCTACCAACTTGTCCACCACCCTTTTCAGCCTTTCAGTCAGAACTTTGGAGATAAGTTTGTAGATGCTACCAATTAGACCAATTGGCCTGAAGTCCCTCAACTCCTTGGCACCTTTCTTTTTGGGTATAAGAGCTATAAAAGTTGCATTGGAACTCTTCTCAAAAACTTCATGTTCATAGAAGTTTTGAAAGGTGTCCATGATGTCTTGCTTTACCACATCCCAATATTTTAATAAAAAAAGGGAACCCATAGTAAAACCATCTGGACCTGCTGCTTTGTCAAAAGCACACAACTTCAAACATCTCAGCCCTTCACTTTCCTCAAAGTTGCTTTGTAGAGCCTGCTTATCTTCTTCTGTTAGGTTAGGACATTGCACATTTATGTACTCAAGTATCCATTGAGATGATTCCTTATACAACCTTTTATAATATTCAACAATTTCCCCTTTAATTCTGCTTGGCTCTTGATTCAATTCTCCCTGTATCATAAGTTGATCAACGTTGTTGTATCTCCTATGTGCTTTTGCTATCTTGTGAAAGAATTTAGTATTCTTATCACCTTCCTTCAGCCATAGAGCCCTTGATTTTTGTCTCCCGGAGATTTCCTCCTTTTTGATCAACTCTTCATATTTCAACATTAATTCAGATTTTTTGGCGGACTCCTCATTAGTAAAGATAGACCCTATTTTTCTAATCCTAGTTGAATAAATAATTATGTTGATCTTAGTGTAACAATGTCTAAAATCATAATTTGAACTGTACAAAAATTAAATAAATTGTCAAAAAACTAGCATCAAGTTTGAAAATTGTATAGAAATACTAACAATATATATTATTTTAAACAGTTTACCTATTTGGTGACTCTTCAAGGTTATAATATTACTAACTTGATAGTAGCATTACACTGATGTACCTTCATCGGATATATTATAATTGTTGCAAACGTGCTACTTTTAGAATACGTTTATTATCAAAGTTTCGCTATTAACAAAAATAATGCTTAAATTCATATTTGGTAATGTATAAAATCTAACAACAGAAGTTTTCATAACCCCTATATAAAATGGGTCAATCTTACCCAACCCATTTATAAACCTAATTTTTAACCCGGTTAAATATGGGTGGGTTGAATTATGACTGTTTTTGCTCAATCTGTTTTCTACCCACCCATTTGCCACCACCATACATTTATTTTTGAGGATAGTAGCAGTAATCTATATATTCACATGTATACTACATCCAAAATATGTAGTTCCCCTTCAAAAGGTATTACAGACTAATCATATTGCCGCCTATCACCTCTATTTCCTACAAATAATCTAAAACATCCAAGATATCTTCTGCTTGGACTAAAATATTCTGTTTACACCAAAAATAAAACAACTCTAGACAATTCATCTTGAAGCTCTGAAGTCCATTCTTCTTGTCTTCAAACACCTCTGATTTCTCTCTTTCCATGCAGTCCACCATATGCATGCTGGGACACTCTTCCATCTCTCCTCCTTTGTTGCTGCATTACCATCACTATTCCAACTATTGAGGACTCCTCTGATGTTCCCTGGCTTTACCCAATTTGCCACCACCATACATGAATAACAGAATTGTAGCAGAGGTAGATGGGTGCTAGTGCACCTTACCTGTATACATTGGTCATCTTAACTTTTGAAGCAAAACAACCATCTGCAGCCTACTTCAACTCTCATTGGAGTGGCCAAAGTAGCTACAAAAAATAAAAGACTTGGGTATAGTGTTCTAAACTTGGCAAATCAGTGGCAATGAAAACATGCAGCTATTAATTTACTAGATATTAATAAATCCAACTGACAGTGTTTGCAGTCAAAGATTGGGCCATCTTTTATCTTCTTGAAGATTGCTTTTATCTTCTTTTCATCTTTCCTTTCTTTGTGGAAAGCATGTGAAATATTTTGTTCTGTGGTTCCACTGAGACTTGAACCAAGAACCTTTGCTGCCATCTAACCGTTAATCACCTCATCTAAAAATTCAAACGGGTTGATGCGACACAATTTGATTTATCTAATTTATGCGAACATCGTCCTCTCCACCCCTTCCCCCAATGCCAATCAGCAACAATAGAATAAACAAGGGGCTCATGATTGTTTTATTCACAAATGCTTTGCATCTATATTATCTTGTTCGATTTAAGTGATAACTTTAGATGTTTTTTCATTGACTTGGCTCCCCTTGATCTTTACCTTTGTTTCCTAAATGCAGTGGCTTCAAAGATCTTTTCAATTGGCAGCACTTTATTGAAACTCTAAAGGATGACATCCACATTGTTGAGACATTACCACCAGAATTTGCTGGAACTGAGCCTTTCAACAAAACACCTATATCCTGGTCTAAGGTGAAGTACTTAACTGATTTATATGGGTATTTTTGATATTGATTGTGAGTACTCCTTTGAGTGAAGTATGAAACTAACAACAGATCCAAATGTTATGGTGTGGCGATGAGTATCCTGCCATACTTACATGATTCTCTTAGTTGATCAGGTTAGTTACTATAAATCAGAGGTCCTCCCTCTACTGAAGCAGCACAAAGTAATGTATATTACTCACACTGATTCTCGGATAGCCAACAATGGGATACCCAATTCTATTCAGAAGCTGAGATGCCGTGTAAATTACCAAGCATTAAAATACTCGGCCCCCATTGAAACTTTGGGAAGGATTTTGGTTTCGAGGATGCGACAAGATGGTAATCCTTATCTTGCTCTGCATTTAAGGTCAGTCGCGGCCTCTTTCTCTCATAGCTGTTAGAGCTATAGTGACATACAACTCTGTTATTGCTTGTCATTACTTTTGATTAATGCTAGGATTATAAAATGAAACATAGTGCGAGTCGAACATCTCTTGGGATAAAAAAGAGGAGGAAAAATTCTGGATGCCACTTTTCATTTGAAGGATCAGGCCAGTTGATGTACTAGACATGCCATTCATTGTGTTAACTTAGTTTGATTCTTCATTTGAATCAAAATACATTAAAAAATGGCTGCTAGACCACGTCATACCTGTATCATTATGCTTGTGTTAGCTCTCTGTATACCACTGTAACTGAACTATGACAAAATTATCTAAGAAAGTTATGTAACTTTGAGGTCATTATTTTTGCAGGATCAGTATTCATACTTTGATGCTTTAATTGGACACAGTTATCTTAGTTTTACTTCTAATCTTATAGGACTGTTGCACTCTTAAAGCAACGGCTTTGACTGAACTTCTTTTTGTAGCTGCAGAGTCGTAATATCAGATAAATGTAGTTCAATTTGTTTCTCAATTATTTTGATGGATATAAAGTCATTTGGATGATACATTGCACAAATTATAATGCTGATGTCTTATCTTAGCAGAGTCTGTTAAAACTGTTGATCTGAATCCTTTTCTCATAAGCAGTTTATGATGCTACTTGCAGATACGAGAAGGATATGCTTGCTTTTACAGGCTGCAGTCATAATTTGACAGCAGAAGAGGATGAAGAACTCCGTAGCATGCGTTATGAGGTTGGCCATTGGAAGGAAAAGGAGATCGATGGTGCAGAAAGAAGAAAGCTTGGTGGTTGCCCGTTGACCCCCAGGGAGACTGCCCTTCTGCTTAAGGGGCTGGGATTCCCATCCAGTACGAGGATTTACTTGGTGGCTGGTGAAGCATATGGGAATGGAAGCATGCAACCTCTTCTGGAGAATTTCCCAAACATCTTTTCCCATTCAACTCTTTCAACAGAGGAGGAATTGAACCCTTTCAAGAATCACCAAAACATGTTGGCTGGTTTGGACTATGTTGTTGCTCTTCAGAGTGATGTTTTTGTCTACACATATGATGGAAATATGGCAAAGGCAGTGCAAGGTCATAGGCGCTTTGAGAACTTCAAGAAGACTATTAATCCGGACAGGTAATTATTCTTGCGATCTGCCTATTCCCTTGTTATCTGGCTAGACAGATTTTCTGTTGTCAAACTACGAGAATGCAATATTCCCAAATCAAAGCACCTTCGTCAACCTAACTTTTGGAATCTAATCATCCTTTTGTAGGATGAATTTTGTGAAGCTAGTTGATGAACTCGATGATGGTATGATCTCGTGGAAGAAGTTCAGCTCCAAAGTAAAAGAGCTTCACGAGACTCGTTCTGGGGCTCCTTATATGAGAGAGCCAGGTGAATTCCCGAAGCTGGAAGAGAGCTTTTATGCTAATTCCCTTCCTGGCTGTATATGCGAGAAAACCCACAGATAGCAAAGTTTGAACACAAAGTACGTAGTCTCTTGATCCCCTTGGAGTTCAGCTTGGGACATTATGGGAGGTATTGCCATGCATATGTTTTAAGAGCATGTGGATCGAGTCTCTACTAAAGAATTCATCTCATTGGGACTTCTCCCTGTTTAGAAACAGGTGACTTGTATATATGCAGACCATCAAGGTCAAATTCAGCATTTTGCTGCTGGTGCAGAGTTAAGTATACCGTTCAACCATACAAGACATTAGACCTTTTGTTAATTGGACATTTTACACGATAATTTATTGGCAAGGAGGATGGTGCTGCCAATATCTACATACGGCAGTGTATGCACCGCACCCTGCAGAGCCAAATGATAAGTTTTGTGGGTGGTTGATATAGAATGTATTATTTCTTGAGATACAAATGACCAAATTACATTGTTAATCACACATTTTTTCTGGCCTCCTTTCTATTAAATTGCTTGAGATGAGTTTTAATGCGGTGACATTGTCAGTGAAGATTCTTACCGCCGACTCTAACTTGTGTGAGAGTGAGACTGAGACTGAATTGTTTCTCTATTGAATAGCCATACTTATAGAAGTCATCAGATTGAATTTTTTTTTTCCGACTATCTTTATGTTTTTTCACACTTTCCTTGCTGCAAAACTTGAATTTTAAATACGAGACGACAGGTCTTGCTCTTACTAATTCAACGTGGTTGCAGAACATATAAATGTCATTTTGATTGTAATCTTGAATGGGCACATTGGTAACATCTCTATCGGGGATGAGAATCACTAAGATTATGCTACCAATGGTCTCCCCAGATCATTGATGAAACAACAGAACGTCCCGATGCTATTCTCAGTGAAGATGTTGACTTGCTAGACTTTGGAACTTCTCTTAATAGAAAGGGGAAATTCGCACAGATTCAAAAAAATGAATCTATAAACAAAAGATTAGTGTCAAAGCTTCAGGAGGCAGAACTTCACAAAGGAAAAAAGAAAAAAGATTCTAAGAAAGAGCTAGCTCAACTTCCAAAAGAAGAGAACAAAACAAAACCCTCCCGTAGTATTCCATGATTAGTACAATCTTTTGGAATATTAGGGGAATGAGGTCCAAAAAAGCAAATCACAGAATCAAATACTTGGTCCACATTAACAAGGTGGTTTATTTGGCTATCCTTTGGTTAATAAGACTAAGATTGAGGGATACAGGAAATTTCTTGGATTCCAATATTGTCTGGATAACACTAATGGCAAGATTTGGTGTTTTTGGAATCACCTAGATCAAGCTGAAGTCATAGCCAATGAAGAACAACACGTTACCATCAAATTCAAAGACAAAAATGGCGCTAACAGTAGGTATGTATCTGCTATTTATGCCAAATGCACTGACGGGGATAGAAGAGACTTATGGGACAACATGGAAAATATAAGTAGCTCTATTAATGATCCATGGTGTGTAGGAGGGGACTTCAATGATATCATGGACCCTGATGAAAAGTTAGGAGGCAAACCTCATAGGGCAACAAATGTTTTGACTTTATTAGCACTATGGAAGCTTGTGGTCTATCTGATTTGGGTTTTGTTGAACCTAAATATACATGGTGCAATAATACAAGACCTAGTAAAAGAATTTGGAAAAGGCTTGATAGAGTTTTTGTTAATGATCTATGGGCTCAAAGTTATCATACCAATACCATCAAGCATTTAGCTAGGACGGGATCCGATCATAGGCCTCTTCTCATGCAAACCCTTTCCAATCAAAACGACTTCATCAGATACTTTATATTCTTAAACTTATAGACTCAACGGTCAGATTTTTTTGAAGACTGTTCAAAACTCTTGGAACATGAATGTGGCAGGCAATGCACTGTGGAGACTCCAGTGTAAGTTAAAGGTTCTAAGCAAAAATCTTAGTAAATGGTCTAGAGAGACCATTGGGAATGGGAGACCAGAGTCCAACTTCTTGAAGAACTGGACACTCTAAACAACAATGAACAAAGCAGGGAAGATTTGAACAGGGAGCATGCAGAATATGTTAAATGGCTTGAAATGCAGGATGCTTTACCAAAGCAAAAAACTAGAATCAATTGGTTCAAAGATGGGGACTACAACAGTAAATATTTTCACAGTGTGCTAAGTGACATAAGAAAGAGACTTCTTATTCACAGAATCAAAGACGACAGAGACAACTGGATTGAAGGGGACAACATGATTGCAAGGACTGCTATTAGACATTACAAGAATCTCTTCAATATGGGGCAACCTAACCTGGACAGTAGCACTTTGGATTGCATACCAAAGCTGATTACTGAAGAGGATAATGATATTCTTCACAGAGCACCCATGGAGGATGAAATTAAAAATGTTGTGTTCAGTATGAGTGCAGAAAGCAGTGCAGGACCTGATGGCTTCAATGGTAAGTTTTTTCATTAATGTTAGGATATTATTAAATATGATGTTTGTGACTTTGTTGTTGAATTTTTCTCGGGAAAAAAACTCACTAAACACTTCATTCACACGTTTTTGGCTCTTATCCCTAAAATTGAGTCCCCTTCTAACTTTTCTGAATTAAGGCCTATTAGCTTAAGTAATTTTTCTAACAAAATTGTCTCTAAAATTCTAGCTAGAAGGCTCAATCCTATTTTGCATAGACTCATATCTGTTAATCAAAGTGGTTTCATTCCGGGCAGATTGATTACTAAAAATGTCATGCTTGCTCAAGAAATAATTCATGGTATGTCTAAGCATAATACTGGTGGTAATATTGTCATCAAATTAGATATGGCAAAGGCATATGATAGAATGGATTGGAATTTTCTAATGGATGTTCTTAGAAGATTTAGCTTCTCAGATAGATGGATAAATTTAGTGTGGCATTTAATTTCTAATGTGTGATATTCTATTTTGATTACTGAATCTAGAAATGGTTTTTTCTCTTGTGCTCAAGGTTTAAAACATGGTGATCCTCTGTCCCTCTCTTTATTTATTTTGGGTGCTGAGGTCCTCTCTAGAACTTTGAATAGTTTACTTACTCATGATAATTTTATCCCTTTCTCGATGCATCAAAGAGTTCCTCAGATTAACCATTTAGCATATGCTGATGATATTGTTATTTTCAGTAGTGGTAAGAGCAAATCTGTTAAGCTCATCATGAAACAGATCAACAACTATGAGAAAGTTTCAGGGCAAGAAGTCAATAAGAATAAAAGCTTCTTTTTGACTAACCCTAAGGCTAGTGCTTACAAAATCAACAGGATGAGACAGTGTACTGGTTTTTTGGAAAAGAATTTCCCTTTTACTTACTTGGGTTGCCCTATCTATATTGGTAGGAAAAATATTTCTTACTTTGATGATATGGTTACAAAAGTGGTAAAAAGACTCAATGGTTGGCAGGGTAAGATGCTTACCTATGGAGGTAAAATTGTTTTGATCAAAAGTGTTCTTCAATCACTCCCTATTTATACTCTCACAGCGATTAATCCTCCCATTGGTACTATTAATCTGTTAGAAAAGCATTTTGCACGATTCTTTTGGGGTTTTAAACAAGCACCATTGGAGATCTTGGAAAAATCTTTGTGTTCCTGAAGATGAAGGTGGTATAGGTATTAGAAACATGGATGACATCTCTAAAACCTTGGCCATTAAAAGATGGTGGAGATTTAGAACCAATAAGTCTCTCTGGGCTGATTTTATGAAAGTTAAGTATTGTCACAGAGTTCACCCTTCTGTTAAAGCTTGGACCTCTAGTAATTCACAAGCTTGGAAGTTCATGGTCAATGCTAGACACGTTGCTGAACCTAACATTCTCTGGAAAATTAACAGTGATAGTTGTAATATGTTGTGGGACAATTGGTGTGAGAAAGGGCCTCTGGCTATTTTGTACCCTGACAATGTGCATAACAACAATGCCAAGGTTATGGACTATATTGATGGTGGTAACTGGAACATGAATAAATTAAGGGAAGATCTCCCCGAACATATAGTCCTATATATTGCTAACATTTCTATCGGGGATGCTAATGATAATGACTATGCTGTTTGGAACATTACTCAGGATGGTCAATACACAAATTCTTCTGCTTGGCAGAGCATAAGAGAAGTGAGACAAAAAGATGTCATCCTGAGTAAGGATTGGCACAAGTGCTTACCTTTCAAAATATCATTTCTTACCTGGAGAATGATGCTAAAAAAGCTACCGTTTGATGAGGTACTCCAAAGATTTGGTAATCCAATGGATACCAAATGCCTATGTTGCACAATACCTCAAAAATGAATCAATTCAACATGTGTTTAGTGATAGTGAGATGGCTAAGCATATATGGAATTACTTTGGAAACCCCTTTGGAATTAATCACCAAGGAGGTAACATTAGAATTCTCTTTAATGTTTGGTGGAATATGAACACTGCCAACAGTGTGCACAAACTGGTACAACAAATCACTCCCATGTGTATAGCATGGGAAATCTAGAAAAATTGGACATCTTGTAGATATGGAGATCAGACCAAATATTTGATATCTAGAATGGAAGTGCAAATTTTATGGAACATCAAAGCAGCTATTTGTGTTGTCTTCCCAACTTGTGACTTAACAGGAAAATGGGTTCAAATCTGCACAAGAATTGAAAGGTACAGACCTATTGTAAGATGGAGGCAAGTCGTTTGGACCAAGCCTGTGACCGGAAGGATCAAATTCAACACAGATGGAAGCTATATGCAAGAAAGTATTTCCAGGGCCGGCATTTGAGGGGTTCTTAGAGATGACACTAGTCATCTCATTATGGCTTTCTCAGTCCCAACTCAATGTAAAAGCAACAATCAGGCAGAAGTAATGGCAGCACTCTATGCAATAGAATGGTGTAATCGAGCTGGATACGACAAATACGATCTAGAGTTGGACTCAATGGTGGTTACAAATATGCTCGAAGAAAAAGACACCAACAATCTGAAGCTGAAAAACATTATCAAACGAACTGTCAACGCTAAGGAAGAGGCAGAAGTGAGCATCTCACATTGCTATAGAGAAGCCAACCAGGTGGCTGACTTCCTAGCCAAATTAGCTTCATCGAGTAGAAATGGTACCTTCTACTTCTCTTATCAACAGCTCCCGAAAGAAGCGAAGGGACTCTTTCAACTAGATAGATGGCAACTACCTTGTATAAGAAGAAGATATGACAAATGTAATTTTTTTTGTTAGTTGAATCTTGTATTTTGCTTGAGTGGAAGGTTATAAGTTTGTTGCCTTCCCTTTTTTGATGTCCTAATTTCCACTTTCTATTTTTGCCAGAGGTTAGGTACATGCCTCCCTCTATTTTTGTGTAACTTATGTTGGAAATTATAGACTTGGTAGGGGTCAAGCCAAACCCCTCACACCTAATAACTTTAAGCTGTGATGGTGATGGCTTAAATTAAAAAAAAAATAAAAAAAATACTCCCTCCGTCCCTATTTACTTGTCCATATTTCCTTTTTTAGTTGTCCCTATT